AAGTAAGTAAAATAGTGATGGGAGACGAAAGGAAGGCAACGACAGATTATCGAGAGGTCATTCACAAATTTATGAAGGCAAAGCTTTGAAACAACATCTCTCAGCTCACAATCAATCTTGCCGATTGGCTTTTTTGGAAATTTGGGTTTAAATAAAATTGAAATTAAAGTTGCACTTTAGGAAAGTCAGTAGTCTTCTTTAGCGCAATAGAGCAAAGACTGTTTCACTACTGTGCCAAATTACCAAATTCGCCCAAAGTTAGCGAAACTTATTTGGAGTTATTAGAAAATCACTGGGGCGGTTAGCATAGTGGTAGTGATGTCCATCATCACGAGCATGGTGCTAGTTTGATTCCGCTCCGAGTCAACCAAGGCTCTCATCCTTCCGGGGTCGAAAAATTGGTACCACTTACTTTAACTTTAAGTTTACCGACTAGGTGTTCTTTTATGCGGACACAGAGCGGTCTACCCGCTTCGCCAATATGTTTGCCGCCGCATGCTTTAGAAGAGATCAGATAAACTGTACCCAAACTCATGCAATCACGGTCTCTACCGTTAGGGTAAATTATGCAGCTTTCCGTTTCACATAGACAGGTCATACAGTCGGTTGCGAACTAGCTGGCTTCTTAGAGTGCTCGGCGGTATTTCAGTTACTGTCACCAAATTCGCTAGATCGGCCCTTCTCAGACAACGTTTTATAGCTGCACTTGTTTCGTTTGAAATGAGGAGCAGAATAAACGGGGCTTTATTATCTCTGGAGTTGTCGTTTGGGGGCTTGTTTTCAGGATCCCCTTCTTCTCTGCTCCTATGCACAACCCGGTGGCTGTTCGAAACTTATTCAAACGTGTTTCTTACAAGCGCACTTTTTGTGGCGAGGAGGAGGATGGGACTTGTTAAATTATGAAGCTTCGAGCATGTAAGAATAGTCTCTGAATGAGCTCCGCCGGTCTCTTCTTTTTGTTTCCTCTCGCTCTTTCTCATCTATCTTTATCATGATTCCATCAACTTTACTTTTTATAATGAATCTCCGTGTTTACTCTTTTGGACTAATTTTGCTGGTCAAGAATCATTGAATATTATGGCCTTGAGGCATGTCTGCCGTCAACGGCATCAACTTCGATCTCCATCGCCGTTTCACTGACAGTGATAGTGAAGTAGGAGATGAGGATGAAATCAGGGAGATTCCTGTGCTTTCTGTAGAAGAATATGGAGAAGATGAATCGAAGTTGAAGGATAAAAGTCTTGGTGATATCAAAGATGAGTGGTTATCTAATGTGACCGAGAGATTATTATGAGCCATTTGTGGCCAACACATGGTGAGTGCGGACGAGACGAACGGATTTGCTGCGCGAAATAATGTTTTGTGAAAGTAGGGCGGCAAACATGACGAAATGAGACGGTTTTCTATTTCTGGATTAAGATTGACATGATTCAGGCGCCACATTTCAGGGATTATTGGAGTTCGAGGGGTGGTCTTATGTAGTATAGAAGCACCCTGTCGGTTTCCCTATTATAACATGAGATAGATTTGAAACTTTATTGGGAAACCTCCATTTGGCCAATTATGCAAAATTTGACCGACAAAAGAGGTTGTGCAAGATTAAACACTAATCAGCCTTATCAAAGGAATCTGCAGCAGAATATTTGGGCTTAGAAAGTTCATATCTTTTGGCAAATCCCTTGTGCTACATAAAGGTGAAGGTCGAGTCGCGTTCCGGTAGCATATCTCGCATTAGAAGTACAACCACACACTCAAATTATTCAAACTATGCTCGAAAGGTGGCTGCATCTACAAATTTTGGTGTATATCAGTAGCAATTTCTGGGTAACTGAAGACATGGAGCACTATTCGATCTGCTCGACAAAAGGAAGTGTCCTTGCACTGATAGTAGCTGCACGAGTCTCCCCTTAGCTGAAGGCTTATGGTGGAGGACACATCTTATCGACAGCTGTAGGGAAAACAGGTAGGCTTTTCCACCGCAGCTCATCATTCAGGACTGAATAGGCGATAGTTGTTAGTCCAAGTGAATGTGAGTGGTGTAAATGGGTTGAAGTGGAAAGGTAAAGAGGACATTATTGCGACTTCCACAGTTTATGACAAGAACCTTTTCCGTAACTCGTTCACACCACAGGTGATTGAAGACAATATTTTTGTTTCGAAACCGACTTTCTCTAAACCTCGGTGTGACTAATCAATATGTATTCTTTCTTGATAAGCTTGCACGAGGTGATCACTGAGGAAGACCTGGCTCGACACGAAGGCGAAGCTGCAACGTCGAGACGAACAACATTCATGGACCATCGACTCAGATCATCGGCAATATTTTTGATTGCTAGCAACGAGTGAAATTCCCCCATGTGAGGACTCCTAGCTCTATGTAAGATTTATAAATATCTATATATTCTATATATGTTTTGATTGTAAATTTCACATCATCAAATAAATGGAAATGAAAAAAATAATGTATTATAAGTGTTTTTAAAGACAAATTGTGTTGAGTACCACTGATGAGCCCAAAATCTGTGAACATCAAGCCACTCTAAAGGAATCTTCTCATTGATTCATCATGTTACCCTTCGAATTCCAATGTTCAAATAGTGTTGAGTCTTAATCGTTTTATTTACTGCCTACTCTTTTTTAATGGCAGAGTATATTGCGAAATATAACTTCAATGAAGCTGAGATATTGGCGAAACTCTGGACCGCAAGTGTCTGCGATGGGAACGAACGCGCTATTGTCCTTTCCGAGGAGTAACGCGTTCACCACCACACCATGCGGGTGCAGCGAAACGAAGGATCCGCATGGTGTGGTGGTGAACGAGTTACTCTGCCCGGAGAGTTGTCTCTGTCCTTCTTCGTCCAAGAAACTTTCCTTGCAAATCATCAATTGAAGAGATAAGATTTTCATGAGCCACGCCTATCATAATATCGGTGGTGGACAAGCTATCAACAAAGTGAAAAAAGTGCTAAAATACCTCTTCTGGACTATAAGTTCAGAGGTGACTATGCCTGTACAGAGACGACACTTCTCTACCAGATACAAGGCGGTAAAGAATAGTCTCCATCTCTTCATTCTATCATGCTTCCGAGAGTAAGTGTGGAATATGGAGAGCATTCTTTGCGTGCTAGAGAATACTCTGTTTCTATTTTTAACACTTCCCACATATGAGATTTACCCAAGACTGCTTTCATTGAATAAACAATCTTCTGCTGAGTTCATTCAACACCAGAAAGAGTGGTCCCGAATACGCCTGCTACGAAGTTTACCGGTGTCTCATTGGGCAACGTGCTACAAATAGAACATTCAGTGACCCCGAATGCATAAGGGAAATTTCGCTCGTCGAACCATATCGTGGCTCATGACTGCGTTTTTTAATGAAAAATACTCGTGAGTACGCATATTTTACAGTAGTCCCATATCCATGTGAGTGACCAAACTACTTGGCATAACGGGTGAACAATCTACAAGATCGAGTTTTCAATCACTGCGAACGTCACCGAACAGTGCATATGGGAACTCAGTGGTCCATCCATGGGGATATTGGCAAGCACGTCCTATTTGGTCATTCGACACTGGTGACCGTCACTTTTCTAAATCATGGTCATCCACTGTCATTCGGAAAATACAATTACGAAAAACTTTCCACTACCACAAAGCGACTGAGTCATCACTTTCTTTTAATGTACCGATGGTTGTGCTGCGTATGAAAAATCGGCAGCCAATAGAAAAATTGTTTACAACGGGTGGAACGATGACGACTTGCTTTGGATTAATCGTTGAAGGTAACGCGATGATTGACAATGTCGGTGCTGATTGTCTCGATATTATTGCGTAAATGGTAGGCCCAGAAGAACGAATATCTCTGAAAATCAAGCAGCATAACTGTAATGGTTCAAGAATATACGAAAATTTCATTTTAGGAGAGGACAAGGTTAAATACTCAAATGCAAGGGGGTGCCTGTAGGAGAAGACTGGTCGACGTGCAGTACTTGGTTCGACCTATTCATTAAATTTCTGGCTCGACCATTTACCTGGATACTTGGGTACTTGGAGGGCCCATCCTCACTGGTTGTGCAGGCCCCAGCAAAATCTCCATTTTGTTGGAATTTTGCTGGTTTAACCATTGTGGTTCCTTGGAGTTCCGAGGTCAGCCAGGCCAAAGTCTGCCCAAGGTTCAACTATTTAGTATCAAGAAACTGATGGAAGTAGGATGGAAACGATTGACACGTCCAGTTCTTCTATGATGATATGATCCCGAAATGGTCACCGTGTAAAAAGTTGTCTATGTTATTTTTTTCACATTGTTCTCCACGATTTCTATCAGCTATGGGCCAGTGTTGTGAAATTGCATAGTTTGCCAATTAAAAGAGTAATGAGATCGAAGTGATGAAACCGTAACTCTACCTTTTCTTTTCAGTGAAATTTTCACCTCAGGTGATCTAGAAAGGCACCCGTACATCTACTGCTAAATCAAAATATGCTTGGTCCTGTCCAAAATGTCCTCATTTCATGTTCAGTGCGCTCCGATAGTACCGTGCGCCTTTTGTTAGTATTCCTTCTATGGCATAAACTAATCTAGCGTAGCAACAGGAGAACTCTGTAGTTAGTAGTTAGCTAGTTCGTTAGCAGCCACTGATAGATGCCGATTTCCCTAAGTCTAAAATCTAACCCACATGTTTTTCTTTCTTTTTTTGTTTGGAGCAGGTATATTTGCGGTGAACAAACTATTGGTCGCACCTGTGCAATCTTTCCGTCTTTTTTCACGACTCGTCTCAGACGGGAGCTAGAGTATTTTCTGCTATGATGGTCACCTGTCATATGAACTGACACTCCTATTTTTTTCCTTTCGTTTCTTTCTTTCTCCTTCCTTTCTTCCTTTTCTTTTTCTTTTTCTCATCTGCCCACCGACTGTAATCCACTACTAAAATGTGACATCATTCAATAACGTGGTTACCCACTCTCCTGTTAGGTACGCTTCCATATCTCTGTGTGCCATAGACTCAGATGTTCTTCTTCGCCGGCGGTTCCACTGCGACAACAGCTGTATGTCTCCAAGATCCGCCACCTCTCGGCCATTGGTCATCCAGCAGCACGTCTTCCGCTGCATCGTCCGCGACGGGGACCGATCCTTGGCCGTCTGGCTGGCACCCTGCGCACCAGCCACTTCGCTCTCGCTCCACCTCGCCGATTGATCGCCGCCTGGCTGTCTCGCCCCGTCGACAGTCGTCAAATGCATCTGACCATTTATCGATTAGCACGGACATTGAACCCGTATCGCCTCGGCCACTTCTCCTCTAATGTGTCGCGCTTATTTCGTCAATCCACCCTACTTTTAGCACTTTTGGTTGGGAAAGGACTACAGAGTCATTCCGAAGTAGCGTTACTCTAGCTTCTGAGTTTGGTATTTTTACGATATTGTGATAAGAATTAATAGATTGCTCATCCTGTTGTGTCACCCTTCTTCGCCTTTATTGACTCACTGTCAAGCCTTCAAAGTCTCTTAATTTCGACTTAAAGTCGTTGCTGGATACTGAATGTGTGATCTACATTCCATTTTGTACTATCCTGGTTACAGGCATTGTAGAAGAAGTACTTTTCACTTTTGAGTAGTTGACCTTTTCCAGCCCTCGTTTTTCTTCCCAAGGTCTATTATATAACTCCCTTAGATCTAAAAATTTCTATCAGGGTTTTGGAGCTATCCTGTTGTCTAAGAATGCTGAAGAGCTTTGATTTCCACTGGATTATCTGGAAGAGTTACCAGATATTCACACTACTTAGCAATAGAGCAAGCGACAAAATGGGCTAAGCCTAATTTCTAGTATTGTAGCACTTTCTTCGAAATGACCCTCGACAATCCTCCTCTAGCTCGAACCTTTTTGATCGATGACGTACAGTTCCAGCGTTTCTCATTCGGATGTCATTTTTGACGAAAACTTCGAGAACCTTCTAAAGTGAAGGCTTTGCTCGCACTCCCACACTGTCCACTTCCATCCAGTCGACCACTATAACTGGACCCAAACTCGCTTTTCATTTCTCCTCAATTCCGTTGACTGTGGAATCATGTGCTCGCTAAAATATTTTTAGTTGCCCTTTTGCAACGTCACTTTTTAGTTGCACTTGTGATGTACTTGTTTTCTAAACCACTTGCATCTTATTGTTCCTCAGAGCAGATCGTGAGCTTGGCAGGTGTTGCTTTGCTGAATTAAGTGAATTCACTCAGACTTTCTTTGTAACAGTGAAACGGCAAACACTACGTTTTTTGTGAGACGAACGGATTCGCTCATAAATGTAATGTGCTGTAGGTCACTTTTGAGTGGATATGCGATTCCGAAAGAAACACGTTGCCCTTTCAAGGTGTCATTAACTCGCTAGGATTTGTATTACCTACCGTTTACGTGTGTGCCGCAGTGGTCGGAGGCGCCCTGCAACACACGCATGGGATCGGCCCCCGCGCCACTGGCCCACGAAGCCTTCCATCCCTCCGGAGTCGACAAATTGGTACCAGACTTGTTTTGGAGGATAGCAGCAGCACTGGCTCGATACATCGATAGGCCACCGCGAGTCATTGTAAAGGCCAGATATGCATTCATTCACCTCCAACGATGCTTAATGAAGTTGAATGCATGGCGCATCCCTCCGGGATTGATCAACGCGGAGAGCTTTATCCTTTCATCCTTTCACTAGTTTACGTTATCGCTGGAATATATATCAACGACATGCCGTTTTACTTTCACAGAACATCGTTAGATGGTGTCTGTACTACTAGCAAACCCGCAACTGTCCGACCCACATTCCTTTCCTTCTAAAACTTTGGTAAGTCCCATATCAAGGTGGTAGTTTCTATGCGACAGCTACTATACCTGTTATCACTGAAGGAAAAGTGTTTTCTACATAAAAAGCTTACGAAATCAACTATTAGTGCACGTTTGTTCTTTTCATTAGGTCTACAAGGGGTAAGATATCTCTTCTCTATGTGGACGTCCAAATTGGAAACCTACGTACACCACGCTACATTGAGATGGCATAAAATTTGAGAGACATGTACAGATGTGTTTGTAAGGCACAGAGAAGAAAGTATTCACTGGGTATATGTCATTCAGTGTTTTTCCACATGCTGCACTTTTTTGAACATAATTGTTCTCAGCTGTTATTCTCAGAACTCTTCAGTGTTGTGAGTAGTGCTCAAAGGAATTTCTATTGCAATCTACATGCGTTTTGCAACACTTGTAATCTACCACACCTTCATTTGAAAACCTCATGAGTATTATCGAAGCAATGCGAACTCTAGTGGTGATTGGCCGAATTTCGCACAGGTCGCTATCCTAGCCACTGAGTCTGGCTGGCAGAGCAGCAAACTTTCCTCGAATCCACAAAAGTCGGCAACTTCCTGTGATGATAACCTAGGACCCACTTGCACAGCTCTCAGGATTTCAAGAAAAACCACGCCCAAGCCGCACTCAACGTACGGTGAAGTGAGAAAAGACAATAGATTGTCAAATGTCAGCCGAACACAATGGAACCTCAGTACCTACAAGCATAACGCATGAAGAAAAAAACTAAGGAAAAAGGGCTACAAGATGAGAAGTCAGTCTAAGCGTACCTAAGTAAATCTGCTAGCAAACTGAACAGAAATGTTTCTTATAGTGATTAGATCTAGTGGTGACGTGCTTGGTACGAATTGCTATCTGATATCAGCGTTACTAATTTATTATAACAATTTGCACAACGACTTCTTTAACACTGGAGTAGTCCACCACGTAGCTGCATAAGGGCTTAGACAGCTGCACTCTGTCTCTTTGAATCGTATCCAAGTGTACTTGGATTTTGAACTCATTCACCTTAGTTTTCTGCACATTGTCACAATACAACCTCTGTGTGTCCATCAATCACGTCTGGCCAACTAAGTTCTAGAAAAGCCGTGTCTGTAAGAAATGTTCTTAAACCACGAAGAAATAAGAATACGTGTACGATTTAGTAGTTCTCCTCATGTATTAAGAATAGAACACCATCGGGTCGCTTGGGTCCACAAAAGGTTTTCTTAATCTGTAACCTCCGATAACTTTCGCTCTTGATAAGTTGTCAGCAAAGGCTGGCGCTGGCACCATAAACATTGTAATAATGTCTCTTTTACTTTCTAGTTTGAGCACTATTACTCCATTTTGGTTCTGCTGCACTTTCAGTCTCCCTCTCTTCAGCTCATGTTGGATGATCTTTTTTTTGGTCAGTTCTTTCATGTTCGTCCTGTAGGTGCTAAGAGGAGGGATTTTCTTTTGGATTAATCCTTCTATCTACAAGAGACTCGGATACCAATTATTTGTGACCTTTGGACTGATCGTCCATGATGCGATCACCAAAAACATGGTGATCGCCAACTAATCCTGCAAGTGTCCCTGCCGTACGTCATATTTCTGTTTGTGTATACACCTTCACAGCACAGTTTTAACAACTTCACCACATACTCGCATTTCTCGTGTGATAAGAGGCGCATGTAGCGTAATTGGCGCAATACAATACAATACAATACAATACACAATACAATAGGATACAAAGAAAACAATAGGCGCAATACACATTGGACCGATCCCTGTGGCCAGACTCACCAAGCCCTTTATCCCTCCGGGGCCGGCAAATTGGTACCAGTTTTTTAGGAGGATAGTAGCACTGGCTCAATACATTGGTAGGCCACCGCGAGTCATTGTAAAGGCTAGATATGCATTCAAACAAAGATTGATCAACGTAGAGAGCTTTATCGTTTATCTTTTTTATGTGATGAATACTGGCGGGATTCAACTTTCCTAAGCAGCATGAGTGAGTCCGCGTTTTTGCCAAGTGTGTAGATTCACTTGCAGTTTGTATCGATAGGATCAACAACTGAATTGAACTTGCCAGTCTTATTTCGTCCTATTCGCATTCTTGGACAAACATATGTGAACCAACAGCTTTTGAAGAATATCACTTAACATGTAACTGAATAGGAATGAATCCAAGGGCAGTACTGGAGCTTCAGTAAATACCCATATCTGATCATAATGTTTTGACTTTTATTTACTGCCTACTTTTTATGGTAAGAAATGACGTGTCATACTACTACAGTGATTCATGGAGCTCGGGTGCTCTCCACCACACCAACCGACGCCCTGGCTTTGCCTTTCTCGCAGCCAGTTTTCTCCTCTATCGGTGCTATCAGTAAATGGTCGGGAATGATCTGCAATCTCGGCATTGAACCCATTTAAGGTGAAGCTACAATGAAATTACAACGTTTCGGCTTTTATTTACTACCTATTCTTTTTTCATAGCATGGGATGATGTGTAATTCAACCACAAGGATAATGAGATAGCAGTAATAGAGTTAAAAACTAGCTGAGAGAAAGGTAAAGCAGGGGCCTCGGCTGGTGTGGTGGATAGCACGTGAGCCACCAGGAACATTAATCGCAAGTTCGAAGCCCACCTGTGGTCCGAGTATTGCTCATATATCATCCTTGAGATTATATAACTCATCTGTGAGTTTAACAATGGTAGTCGAAGGTAGGCACTGATGAGTATCCTTACCCCTTCAACACTTTTTTATTTCTACGAATGGCTCTTCTATTGTTGGTATTTGTTTTCCAACAGCCACGGTCGAAATATCAGTCATAATTCATAAAAATGGATCAATGTTGATCTGCTTCAGATTGAAGATACAGAAGTTATGAGTTTCATATACTTGTTTCGACTGCTTACAGCTGACCTTATCATCATTTTTCTTTTCATTCTCCCATTTAATCCATCCGGATTCTGAAGTGGGGGAGTAGATTCGTCATCGTTCTCAGTGCCTTCAGTTTCTTCCAGTATTCACGCTTGTCGAGCAGTCGATTAGAAATAGAGTTTGATATATCTTCAGTCGACATAATTCAGATCCACAACATCTATTTTTGACTAGTAATTGAGTGTTTATTTTTTTTTCGATACTATGAGTTACAGTTATTATATGGAACTGGCGCATATTGAAATGTTGAGGAGACGGTATGTAGAAGATTTTTTAAGTCAGTTATTAACACGGTACGTATGGGTATTGATTTACATGACGAAAATACAACAGAAGCGACGAAGTCATTTTCAGAGAAGGATTCAAGAAATCATAAGTTCATAACTTAAAGTATTCACTGCGGAAAAGGCGTAGTATCCCACGTTGTGGCCAAAAAGGTTAAGTCTTTTGCGAATGTGCCAACAGAGTTTCTAATGCAATATCGGGAGTTTTGTTACAGCACAAAAGGTACATTATCTATACAAAGTAGGATCCACACTTGACATTATTTTACCAGCGAACCTCATTGTAAGACTGATTCGGAATTCTAATAGACCCTATAGGGATTGACTGATATCAACCACTAATACTTTGTTCTTTAACTGGCCTCTTGTTGGGCAGAAACAAATTTCATTCGTTCACTTAGATAAGTTTCCATCCTTGTGGTTCGTTCATAGGAATTTTTCTGTTCCTTTCCAGGTACTTTACAGTGGTCTCGATAATCTTTCCACGAACTAGTTTCGCAGGTAATGAAGAAGTTGGCTCATAATCATTCAGAAAAGCAGAAATTTTTCTTGCATAAATAAAAGGCAACAGGATCCGTTGTTTGAAGATTCTGTGGGAATTTCATTCAACCCTGCTGAGTTATCGACAGATAGGTTCATCTTTAATTTAACCCTTACGCGACGGCGCGTACTTTTACGTCGATGTCGCTGGACGACCTTTATTTCTTCTTTCTATCGAGTTGGCTTTTCAACAATAGGTCATAATTTTTCGATTATTAGAAAGAAATGAAGGGTTGAGAAAATGATAGTATTGTAGAACTGGTATCGCTCTAAGGGTATGTATAGTATGTGTACTTTTTTTTACTGTATTTTACCGTAGTCTACCATTCAACCAGATTGCTTAACATCCGAAATTGTTTTGCAGCTTATGTTAAGTCTATTTTCCTACTTTTATACGCATCCGTTACACGTGATAACCATGGTTGTAGCAATTGGAATTTAAACCAGTACTCAATTACTGGGCAAATAACAATCCGCCTCCCTAAAGGGAAGGTTTTTTTTGGATTTCTAAAGTGCAGAATAAAGCTTTCCTTACGCCGAAACTCGCGGAAACAGTTGTGTTGGATCGCTTAATTAAAGAAATGTGTAGGAAAAGGGTGCTGTGCACCCAAATAAATCACCGGAAAGAAAATGACCTCCATTGAGGTCATGCCGGCTACAATGCTCCCACACAGACGCCACATATAGAAGTCACGTTGTAGCACAAGTGTTATCTATCAAACTATCACGTTGCGGCTACAAATTCACCACTTGCAGTCGATATCGTTTATGAATGATCCAACGACATATCGATTACATGATACCACTGCACCAGCAGGTAGCCTTAGTTCGCTCACAGTTTTTTGTAGTCCTCTAGGAACATTTTCTGACTTCTAAAGCTGTCCATCAAAGATGAGCATATCGTATTAGTAGTCCACACTACCGTATTTATAACGCAAGAAGAAACCACAGCTGGTGAAAATTAAGATAAATCTGTTTTCGCTCTGTTTGCTATGCTTTACACAGTCGTTGACCACCGAGCCGTTCTGAGCAGTTTCCCTCAGTGGTTTTCCATCTTTGCTATCGTAGCGAAAAGGTTTTAATTTATAAAGAGGACTATGAGTTGACTTTAATAAAATGATTCTACAGATTTTGTTCTCTGTTACTTGTGGTACCTTAGTACTCAGTTGTAGCGTGATATCTTCATATAACCACAATAATGCTGAGATATCTGGAAAACTCCGGACCGCAGGTGTCTGTGATGGGGATCGAACAAGCTATTACCCTTTCCAGGGGCTAACGCGTGCACCGCTACAACATTCGAGTTCTTCGTTTGGTCTTTTTTCAGCAGTATTATTAACTTATGATTGCTGTCAGCAATCATCCGTCAACGGTGTTGATCTGTGGGCACAAATCGGCATAGAACCTAGTTAGACTGAAGCTGTGGGATAAGTCACGATGTCGTCACTTTTCATCAGCATCATTGTGGTTATATTTCACATCGTACCCTGTCATAAAAAAGAATAGGCAGTAGATAAGAAGTGACTACACCTTCTGCTGAATTGGTTTCAAGGCCAATTTGTGCTCCCCAGATCAATGCCGTTGAAGGGTGATTGCTAATAGCCCCTGTTGGTTAAAACACGGCTGTGAGATGCGCGACAAGCTTAAAGCTGAAGGAAAATTTCCAAATTTTCGGAGAGATGTGTCGTCCATTCTTGTTCCACATGCCTTCTGTGAGGTAATGAGCTTATTTATAATAATATAAAGGTACTACAGAAGTAATGTATAGTCATACGACCGCTTGCATTTCTGTGTAGCTCTAGAGAACATGATTCACTCATTTTAGTTAAGTTTTTAATAATATCCATTTAAAGAAGGCTTCGTGGTGCTGCACCTTACAAGGTTGATCTGTTTGGGATACAGGTTCATTGTTCACTTCTATACTGAGTATGTTTTAATCACAGGCGACTATGCTATGACGTTTTCTGTACTACGGTTTTATTTTTCTGATGAATTTAAACTGCTTGTTTATTGTGCTTTACCAATGCCTAAAAATAGTGCGTGCTTATCGTTGCCCTAACTTTCCAATTAATATTGTTTGTGGTAAACAAGCTCTACACGCAAGTCTGTTCATTGTGCTGGTCGTAGACTATCCATCTGTACTTAAATCACTACCAATGTCTATAGGTGCTTCTCCAAAAGATGTAATCAGTTCTTCTTTCTCCCAGTTATTGTTTCTTATGTCTTATCTTATGTTCTTATCTCGATTCTTATGTTCTTATGTTACTTTTTCAGCAAGTGGAATCAGTAAAACCTTTGTACTTTCTGCACGAAACGCGCTGAATCTCAGAAGCTCATCGCCAGATGTCATCAAGCAAGCGCCCACCGAAGGATGATTCAAAACTGCCAACTTATCGACTAGTCGTCATAGGAGACGGAGGGGTTGGCAAGAGTTCTCTGACCATTCAGTTCTTCCAAGTGAGACATACTGCTTTGTTTGGATATGAAAGGGAAAAATAACCTTACATGGATAGTTGAATGGCTCGTCCTTACTGGATGTGCGGGCCCCATCATAATCTTTATTGAGGAATTAGCTTGCCTAGCCATTGTGGTTCCCTCAAGTCCCGAGTTCAGCATAGACAAAGTCTTCCCCAGGTGGTCACCACCACAGGCACTCGCCGTGCTTGTGGATCAAGAGGAGATTTGCTACCATGCGACTAGTTTTATACCAGGACGGTGATGGATCCTGTTATTGGTTTACTCTTAGCTGGGCTTCCTGACGGAAACGCGTGGCTCCTTCTCAGCTTGGGAGACCCTGCCAGGAGGATGAATCACACCGCTGTACATCGCAGCCCGACAGCCACGACGAGGCGGAAACCGTTGGGAGGCAGTCGAAATGACAAATGTGTATGTGTACCACAAATAATTTGATACCACTACATTCCTATTTTTGAGATTCTTGAGATTCCATCCTGAAATTCTGTTAGATCTTTTTCGAAGGCCATGCTTTTTCGTCTCACTAGAGCTGATTATTTCTTTAACACATAGCAGACCTTGCTTGTTTTCTGAAAACGATGGACAGATTTTCAAGAGTTAGAGTCGTGAAGAGTTTAAGACTTGATAAATTTTTAAAAGAGCCTTCGATCTTTCGTGTTAATGGTGTATATATTTACTTGAAATAGTTGGACAGCCTCTCCTCATTGGTGATTTGGATCCCAGTATAATTTTCATTCTTTTCTGTTTCATACAATCGTCGTTCATGGTGGTTGTCTGCTTCGAGCATGGTGACGTCGGCGAGGTCCATTCCGAATTCTTAAAATTGTTCCCATCTGCGAATGCAAACAGCTTTGGCGATATTGTCGTCGTCTTATCGAACCACTTTTACCATGGATATGATGAGATGTCAACGAAATAGTCGTATATTTGTGCTGCGGATTTGATAACACTTTGCTTGTGTTCGTATATAAGACGGTTCCACTACTTCGTCGACGAGCGCTGATAGGATTGCATTCATTTCGGCGCTGTCAAAAGCTTTCTCTTACTCGATAAACGTTACAATAAGAAGCAGATGATACTTCCGACAGATTTCTATGAACCGTGGTATCGTTTGGATATGCTCCATGGGCAGAGTCCCTGTCGGAATCCTGCTTGGCCAGTTGGTTGTGCTTCATCCAAAATATTGGGTTTTCGCAGAAGAATAATATTTGAGAGCAGCTTGTAGAAAACATTCAACAGGTATATCGGCGATAGTTACGCAGGTACCTTCGGCTACCCTTCCTGCGTACAATGACCGTGCGCTAGTTCTTCCACCTGTCTGGGATTTTGTCTTTCTGGATGTAAGATGTTGGATGGGTTGCGAAAAGTACATGTAATTAGTGGCCACCAGCTCTAAGGAAATCATCAGCATTATTATCGAGTCCTGAAGCGGTGCCTTTCTTCATGCTTTCTTTCGCAGTTCGAACTTCAGAGGGTAGACTGCCGCACGGTATTTCACCAACGTGGATATCGAGGTCTGAGACTGGGATTGTGGAGCAGAAAAGACTAGTTTAGAACCTTTCCATTTCCAACTTATTAATTTCATATCATGGAGGCACGTGATGATAGTCTCATACTCGTTCATCCGAGCGGATAGTGAAACATTATAGTTTCCGACGGCACTTCATCAGACTAGGTCGTTTTTGAGCTCTTCCAATGACTTTCTGCTTATACCGATGTGAATCCTCCTACGATGATCTTCTACAGCTGGCATTTATTATCAGCCGTGTGGGTGTTTTGAAGTGGGACCAAGCTTCAGTCACGTTTTCTAGCAACTCCTTAGCGAAAATGGAGGTGCAGCCTGAACTTCTTGTTTGACGAACTGATCTTATAGTAACTCCCACGTCCAGCTTTCTATTAACTCCGGCATGGATTGAATAATTCTTTCTACTTCTGTTCAGCAAACACGAGGTGTTAGTTTATTTCTTTATTTACGTACAAGCTGACTTTTCGGCGTATTTCGCCTTCCTCAGAGCCTGGAAAGGTCAACTTGACAGCAATCTATTCGGCCAAACACTTCTACAACCATTGGTAAGAGGCAACATTTTTTGTATGAGTTGTGCCGCTATGAGATACTCTGTAGGTTGGCCATTTTCTCTCTTCTCGAAAAACGAATTTCGGTTCGAGAGAACTGCGGGCAGGAGTCCTAAGACGGTTTCCACTTTCTTTCCTTCTTTTGTTCCGAATTTCCCTACTCTAGATTCATTTTCGTTGACAATTCCCTACCTGACTGATCTGGAAATTTAACGAATTTATGGAAGGACTTCTCGTTGCGGATTACTTCCACCAAGTGGTTATGGAACGCCTCCTGTTCGTTGTGATTAACTGTGCAAGTTGGTTAGTGGCAGTTGATGACCCTGATTTTCTTTTGATGCAGAAGATGGAGACAAAGAATACCCAGGCGCAGTAATAAGATGTTGTGTGAAGTGACTAGATGGAGAATGGATGGATGTACGCCAAATCCAACGCCTCCGATGATTCGTAGCGGAAATTCCTCTCCACGAATGACAAGGGTTCCGTTATCTAATTGACGTATGTCGGTACTCCTATTTTTAGTCTTGTGTACGACGATTACATGGAATTTGATGCGATCATTAGCCTCAAGAAGAGCGTAATCGTCGGCGTCTGAAGAGACGGTTCTGGTGTTATAACTGTAGAGCAAGATGCGGTCTTTATGGCTTATCATGGGCGCGGTCGTTTTGTCCGTTTTCAGTGACGTCCTGTGCAACTCGAGAGTTGATCACCTCGCAGCGGTTGTCTCACCGCCCGAAGTAGTAGACGGGAGCGTCCAGTTTGCGAATTACCGAAACTGGTATTCTCTGGCTTAGTCAGTGTGGTTCCCTAGAGTCCCGAGGTCACCCTAGCCGACGTCTTCCTCAGGTCGTTACCATCCGAGGCAGTCACCGGCTCTTGTGGGTTAGAGGAAGATTTACCACCATGCGTCTAGTTGGATACGAGGACGGTGGTGGTTCCTGGTATTGATTTATTCTTAGCTCACCTTCCGGATGAAAACGTCGGGCTTGTTCTCAGCTTAGGAGGCCGTGCTGGGGCGATACAATCGTAGCTGTATGTTGCAGTCCGACATCCAGCACCGCCTCCCAACCATGATGAGGCGGTAAACCTTTAGTTGCAAGGGCATAGGGACAAAATTTAATTTTTCTAATGCGTCCATGTCTACGGAATTTCGACTGTTCAATGCTTTTGTGGTTCGAAGTACATGAATCGAGGAAAAAAGTGGGAAACGCCGTTGACGTCCCGGAAAATTTGGGTTTTGTCGCTGCAGGAGTTGTTTTTATTTAGGCTATTGAAGTTCAATGCGACCTGAGATAAGTTTATTCTATGCATTGCCATACGCAAAGTGCGTTGTACGCTTAAAAACGACATTGCTGTTGACATCAAAAATCACTCTGTTATACAATATGATCAATCATCAGAGAGATAGGAATGTGGGAATTCGTAGGTACTTCAATAAAACGCACACGGGTTTTTTTCTTTTGCTTATGCTTCCGGATTTTTTTTGATGATTTTCTTGTTGGTACTTTTTTTTGTTGATATTATATGGGGATGCCTATCTCCTTAGCCTGGGTGGCTTTGTTGAGGTATAAGCACGTTGCTGGTACGTCATAGTACGACATCAATGGATGTGTTTTAAACGACTCGTAGGGAAAAGAATCACTGTACTAACAAAAACTGGGTTTACTCTAGAGGTTTGAGAAAAAAAAGTTAACGACTACCTATCTGACTGATCTACAATCATCTCCATGGTGGTAGCTGTAAAAAGTGAAAATTAGTATGGTTACTCGTTCTTCCATAGTCCATATGTCAACCACGTACTTTATTTTTCCAGATTGGTTTCATTAGCAGTAGACGGCTGTGTAGACATTCTCCTGAAATCATGCAACTCCAGCGGAGGGCCCTGTGTACTCCTCTCGCTCGTTTAGCACGAAGAACATTACAGTTTTCATACGAAGCTCTTTGTTCTAACTGTTTTAAGCCAATCGTTACCTACGGATGTTGATTCCCTTGAGAGATGTGATGGTCACAGCTGACGTAGGACTTATTGAAAGCGTTCCCAAACCCTTTCGTAGACCTATTTCCTTGTAACGTGATTCCGTGCTTATTCATAGTAGCCGATATAGCCTTCACACACCATTGCATAGCCATACAGGTATGCATGAATATGATTAATTGAATAGAGAACGTCTCAGGGTGCCCGGTACTACTTGGCCAATGCGTTTATCTATTGTTTCCTTTTCATTCCAACACATATTCGATTTTAACCGTGAATTGATACCCTACATCTAATCCGATGAACGACTCTGTTCTAGAGTTGGGCAGGAGGAAGCGAGCAACTTAAGGAGATTTCATATCATGGAGCGTGAAGTGAAGAGGACCAGGAAACGCTACTCCGTGCCCATCTTTTCAACTTCTTGATTCTTCCTGCGCTAACGTGCGCATTGGAAGCCTGAGCACTACGTAGCGATGATGAAAGATCAGTTAAGGTTATTGAGCGCGCAGTTGAGAAATCGATGCTAGGAGTATCCAGTAAAATGAAAGTGATGTATGGAATCTAGTGTTCCGACCTACGTCAACGATCAAACATAAGAGACACCCTTAGTCACCCCAATATGTCGAGAAACAAGTTGGGCGGATACATAATGCGTTTGAACGACAACCGATGAACAAAACCCCTTAGCGAGTCAAAGTTTTTCACGAAAACTGTGGAATATCGAGGATACTCTTGCAGACGACAATGACAAGTGGAAAATTTGTTTGCACCCACCGAAGTCACTCTACCATCAAAGGAACTATAGGTAGTACAGGTGAGGTGATCTGTCATCTAGGGACTTGCCATTTGGTCTTATGAATAATCCTGCTTGCTCACATGGCTGTCCTTCGTCCAGTATTCTGTCATGTTCAGAACACCTAGAGTGAAGGGTTTCAACAAACAGCAAACGGATTGGACGACACTTTCTGATATCGTGGTGGTCGTCTTTCTTCAACAGTAACAAACTGTTGCTGGTCTTCTATCGAATAGGAACCTTATCGAATATTCTGACAGAAACGTGTGAAGAACCGAGCCAATTTGTTGATGAAAACTGACGGAAGCTTCTTCAGGCGTTCAGGTCTTATTCTGTCCGTACCAGGTGTTTTTCAACTTTTCATCAATGCAAAAATGTTGGATTTCAGAATCGAAAACCGTGTGGGACGATATTTCCACCCTCCTTCATTTCATATGAGGCCAGTGACTATTGAATAGTTCAGACTTTTGTGATTAATGGTGTTTTCCACTGCCTTTTTGGAAGTTGTAAACGTTCTGTTTGGGTGTCAGAGTGTATCGTTTTAATCTTCTAATTGGCAAAGTGTCAGTGGGCTTTGTGAATACTTTTCCCACCCTGTGCAAGCTCGGCCATAACTGCTGCTTTTCCCTCTTCAAGAGTTTTTATCGCATTCCTGAATCGTTTTGCAAATTCGGACGTCAGTTGGCGGTTGCTTATGGGTCGTGCGATTCCACGTTAGCCTGTCTGCTCAGGTATCTCTAGAGGCAGTTGTCTCTTGGTGACTTTCGAAGTTTTAGTTTTCAGAGCGCTAAGGCCAAGATGTCGAATAAGGCGGACTATTCCTGCTCGATGGTTACCAATGACGACATCTTCCCAAAAGTTAGCAAATCATCTGAATAAATCCCAGTTTATGGCGGTTCTGGGATTTCTTTTTTTTTGAATTAGCAGCTTTTTCTCATTACCGCGAGGAATACAATCTTGCGCGAAGGAATCGTTGGTCTGATCCTATGAAGAATTTTGCGACTACAGTCCTGTTTCGTGATGGTACTCTGTATTGGTAGGCTCCATCGTTCAGCGTTGAGACTGGGGCTTCTGGAATTGCGAGTTACCATGAATGGTCTTTGTCGTCATGATACTCAGACAGCCGCCCAGCCCGCTTGTACCATTCTAATCCGTGGGTCTTAGCGTTGCGTTTTTCAGACGTTTTTCTGGGTCCAATCTTAGCACTGAAATCTCCGATGATAACCTTAAAGAATGTATGCTATTTGTTGGAGTTGACTCCTGATCGACCCCAGTGACTTGATTATAAGGTTTTGGCCGAATTGATTTGCAGGATACAATCTGCATAAACCGAAACGCACCCACGCACGCATGTGTGGACATGTCTCTGTACCTACATAGAGTACGTGGCAAATCGTCGCAGCGGAAACAGAGAGTCCATCCTCTGTATCCATCTGTGTCCCAGAGAAGCGAAGGTCGCTTTCGGTCCGCGATTAACCCATTATCCACCACTTCAGGACGAGTCATGTTCCCTCGCGACTAACCAGCAAAAAATTCCTCTGTGGTGGAGGTAAGGGGTTGGGAGAAATATAATATAAAATTGCTTAAGAGCTATCAACGTATCTGCTATATAAAAATCAAGTGTATTGTAAATTATATTTGAAAAGTGAGTAGTCTTACATTTTGGTCTTTATTGAGGAGACCAAATAGTTGTGCAGCACCCCATACGTGGTTTCCTATTGGTTTCATCTTCCACTTTTTCAGAAATTCCCCAGACATTTTTAGAAACAATTTTTGGATTATTATGACCCCACTATCGAAGACCAGTACATTCAGCATTGTGAAGTGGACGGGAACTGGGTAATTATGGATGGTAAGACATTTCTGTATACTTGAAGGTGCTTGTTTTACCTCTAGCTGATAGTATTACAGTGCTCGACACAGCCGGTCAAGAGGAATTTTCCGCAATGCGTGAACAATACATGAGAAATGGACGTGGTTTCTTGTTAGTCTACTCCGTGACCGATCGTAAAAGTTTTGATGAGGTTGCGAGACTCTATACACAAGTGCTGCGTGTCAAAGACCGGACAGAGTATCCTGTTCTCCTAGTCGCCAACAAGGTCGTTATTTCACTCCTTTAAGACATGTTTTATTATTAATGTTACTATTATTATTATTATTATTATTATTATTATTATTTAATTATTGCCAATATTATCAATTATATTATTATTCTTATAATAATTATTATTACTATTACTATTATTATTATTATTATTTGATACTTGAACGGCTCGTCCTCACTGGTTGTGCGGGCCCCAGCTTAATCTCCACTTTTCGGAGATTTGCTGGTTAAGTCATTGTGGCTCCTTGGAATCCCAAGGTCAGCCTGGCCAAAGTCTGCCCCAGGTCTTCACCACCACAGACAGTCGCAGCCATTGTGGATCAAAGGGAGATTTGCCACCACGCGACTTTGATACCACGACGACGACGAATCCTGGTATTGGATTACCCTTAGCTAGGCTTCCTGACGGAAACGCCGGACTCCTTCTCAGCTTGGGAGACCCTGCCAGGGGATGAATCCCCCGCCGTACACCGCAGTCGGACACCCAGGAACACCTCCCAGCCACGATGAAGCGGTAAACCGTTGGGAGGATTATTATTATTATTATTGTTAATATTATTGTTATTATTATTATTATTAATCTTTTTTACACGACTCGTCATTACACATATCCTCTGTACAGCACTTTTTGCATTCATTTCGTATCCTTGCATCAGTGTTCCACGAAGTTCATCAGATTCTTATTTGTTGGTTCACCTGCTGTCTGAGGGATTGTTGGTGGTCATCTACATGAATGTCCTTGAAATGCTAGTCGAGCAGATTTTTCTTAGGAACCTGAAATAGCCTAGGACGGCTGGAGGTTCCTAGATCTTCAGCACAAGTAGTATCAAAATATTGGGATTTGTGGGGAACAAGAGATTCCCCGACAAGTTTAATATCAATTCTCCGATACCACAGTGATAGATCACCAAGTTGGCCCAGACTGGGTCTTACGCGGGACTTGTACGAATTGAGTATAATGGCTACCACTGAGGTATCTTGACTGTATTTATTCTTGTTATCATAATTACACAGCTCGTTTATGTTTGAGTGGTATTTAGTGGTATTTTTATCTATTGGAGCTGCTTCGGAGTTCTTCATCTCTGTATCTCCCTTTATGTTTCACTTGGAAGATAACCTTAAAATTAGATATGTAGTTTCCACGATGAAACTCAACATTTTCAGATTGATTTGATTAATCAGCGAGTCGTGTGCGAAGAGGAAGGGAGAAGTTTAGCCGCTGATCTCAAGCTTCCTTACATCGAAACGTCTGCAAAGGTGATATCTCGTACAGTTGCAGATAGACTACTATTGTTAAATTAATGAGTGGAGCAGTTTTTGCAATTTTAGAATCCTCCGGTGAATGTGGACGCCGCCTTCCACGAACTGGTCCGAATTGTTAAGAGTTTTCCTTCTGATGAAGACGACGAAGAGGTGGTTGTGTAATTTGAACTTCTTGTACCTCTTTCCTTAAAGACAGTTTTTCAGAACAACTCTTCGATCTCGCCTAATCGAAAAAAAACCAAGAAGAAAAAAGTTATGCAGAAATGCCTGCTAATGTGACTTGACCAGTTCCTGTCGTAGGCCTGAATTTGTCCACAATCGTTCGTTCCTATTTATTTCTGCTGTAAATGAACATCAATAATGTACGAAATTACTGATGTTACTTAAGCCTTTAGATTTTCATTTACTTTAGGATTAAGTAACATGAGGTCATAATAGCGGAATCTCGGTAGATTACAACAGTTCTGTAGAGTTTTTTAAAAGAGTTCCTTCCACTCGTTAGGTTACTTTATGTTTTTCCGTCTTAAACACGGTCGTTACAACTTATTCATCATTCATTGCTTGTTTATGTTATATTAATCGATTAATTCTATTAATGAGGAGGTCACATGTTTTTCATGTGAGAATTTTTTTTCTAGTTGCTGATGTATTTATATATTGACCAGCCGTGTTGTGAATACCTTTGGACTTTCGGTGACGACCCCTTTCCCACTTTTAGTCACTCTTTCTCCAATGTTTTCTGAAACACATCTATCGTGAACATTTCTCCTGACTTCCTTATCTGTGTTTTGACGTTCCAAATGATATTTCATTCCGCATAGTAATTTAGGGTTTCCTGCTCAACAGTTTACCTGTCACTTTGTGATGTGCCTAACATTCCTCACAGGTAACTTTTCCTTTTCCATTTTATAAATCTGTTTACTGCCAATGAGCGGATGGATTCGAATTACCTGTAATGAATCTCACATGTCAGATATAAATATCGCTTGAAGGTAATACCAAACGTAGATCATGCCCTTACATTATAGCTTTATTCAACAACTTCATATTGCAAATAGGCTAGAAGTCCCAGTTAGTGAAAAACCATCTTTATGTTGGAAAAGGAGAACTTATAGCGACCCTCTCCATCGGTGTTCGTGCATACGCTTGGAAGATTGAAGAACAAGCATTGACTTTGTGCATTTTCTTTCTGGTAATTTGTTTTGCCGCACAGAATTTTCCATGCTGTTTGTATACAGTCTATGGCATAAACATTGTACCGGGTGGGGTATGAAAGCTACAATATATCTCCTATAATTCGCACAGGACATTTTTTTGGACTTGTTTGCTCGTTGCGCCATACTGATTGCACTGGCGACGAAGGTATTAAAATAGGCTCCCGACACGTGTATCAAGGCAGTAAGAATCACAGAGTTGAAAAGGTGGGGAGAGAATCAGGAGTTCTCAGTCCGTTCCCCTACATACCCGATACTATTGGAAACTCCCCAAGTCGTTCGCTTCCTGGTGATCAGCTCCGAAGTTAAGTCTTCTTGAATCAAGTAGCCGTAGCTGTGGCATTCCGGGGTATTCGTTTTATCGAGCGTGAATGGAGCAGCAGAAAAACCTGTTTTTCGTGACCGTTGTCGTTTTAGATTCAGCCGAACATTTAGAAAGGTTGTGAAAAGGTCTCTCTTGTAGAAATATAAACACACGATGCTTGACTTTTAGCTACTGCCTATTTCATAGCCTCATAACGATTTACCATCTCGTCGTGGCTAGGAGGTGTTCCAAGGTGTCCAGCTGCGATGTACAGCGGGGAGATTCATCTTCCCTCACAGGGTCCCACAAGCTGAGAAAGAGTCCTGCGTTTCCATTAGGAGGTCCAACCAAGAGTAAACCAATACCAGGATCCTTTCACTGTCGTGGTATTAAACTAGTCGCGTGGTGACAAATCTCCCTCTGATCAACAAAGGCGGCAACTACCTGTGGTGATGACGACCTGGGGTGGACTTTGGCCTGGCTGACCTCGGGACTGTGGTCAATCACAATAACTAAACCAGCAAAACTTGGGAAAAAATGGGAATTATACTGAGGGTCCCACAGCTAGTGAAGACGGGCCACCCAAATATCGAAGTAATCTGACATGCAACCTTAATGGTGCTGAGATGTGAGCAGAAATCTGGACCAGAGGTGAGATCGAGCACATGATTGCTCCTTCCGGAGGCTCACCTGTTACCCACTACACCACCGAGAGCTCCTGCTCTACTTTTCTCTCCTCTCAGAAGCTTTTCTACTCTGTCGGCTCTATCAGCAATCACTGATCAACGAGAATGATCTAAGAAGTATAAATGAGAAATGGCATTGATTACAATAAGGCTGAATCTGCAGTCTGCTGACAAATATATGAGCCCTAACGAGCAAGTTACTTAAGCAGCACGACGAAATGAAGTCGAGTTTATTACCTAGAGTGCTCAGAGCAAGATTACTAGTAGCTCCTCGATCGTCAACGAGAAATAGCTGTGGTCACAGATCTGTTAAAATATAACTGACAGAGCATCCAGTACAATATTCCGTATTTAGCTCTGTCCATCTATCTCTCATATGTCAGAGATTTCATTGTTGCACATTGGGACGTGCGATTAAGAATTACCCACTTTTATAGAAAAAAATTTGTTTTTCCGTAAAGCGACTTTCATTTAACCTCGGTGTAAATGACCAATGTACCTTATTTCATTGATAAGCTAGCACGAGATCGTTACCACATAAAAATTCGGCGAATGTTTCGACGTCTTCGTCTTCCTCAAGACCGATGATTCAAGTCGATAGTCCACAGTCGTTCATCTCGAAGCGGTGTCTTCGTCGACGTATCGAGTCGGATCTCCTCCAGTGGAGCACCGCTCGAATGAGGCAGCCCCACCCGGCAGTGCTCTTCTATAAAGGGCGGTTGTTGTCGGTATGACCATCCGTTGATAATAAATTGTTTTTCAACAGATAATCCATCCTGCAGCACTCGGTACTAGGTAAGAAGGCACCACATCGAGATGACGAACGACTGTGGATCTTGATTCGAACCATCGTCTCTAAGGAAGACGAAGACGTTGAAACCTTAGCAGAATAAATATTTGGTAACAAACTCGTGTTAACTTGTCAATGAAGTAAGGTATTTCGGTTTTTTAAAATGCTCATTAATCTAGCTGGCGCCGTGTATTCGTCAGACATTCTTCTGGAATCCAATATTAGCACTGAAATTACCACTGATGACTTTATCGGAAATATATCATTCTTTCTAAAGTTCTCCTACGTCCATTCAGAATGCCTCGACCTTGTCTTTGTCACAGCTTCCTATCGCAACATGGAAATCTAGCGATGTCAAAGGATTGGTTTACATCTTCCCAGCATAGTCATCCGATTTCGATTGCTGGTTATTTGAAGGACCTAAGGTCAGTAGACAACCTCGCGCCGCAAAAAATGTTAAAATTGACGAATTAGTAGTTGCAAAGTGAACTAGAACAAGTCTGTCCTACTAAATCTTCGTAGGTTGTACGATCATGGGATACCTAATGAAGGATTGAACGTGAGTGTTGTGTGTACGTTACACGTGAACATCCTAACACAATAGTGGCAACCTGTAATAGTCCTGAAATCCCAGCATCCTCGTATTCGCCTCACCTTGCTCTCTCTTATCCGACTCCTCTGTGTTAACGAAATGACCTCTCACTTTTCTAATTCTGGCCAATAATACGTATAGTAGGGAAGTGGGTAGCACAGCTGTAGCTATACCGTTCAATATACACAAGGCCGAAGTTCGACTACTATCTTCGCCTACCACACCTCTCACCTTCTCTGAGCAAATATTTTGCAACCACTCCTCTTCGACTAGTTTGCACTCACCAATCCACGAAATATGGGGCCCACCTATGATGAGATTCGCAACGCAACTATCCCAGGACTTCAGAGCAAATTCACATCACTACGATTTAAGGCACTCATAGAGAACCAAAAGTCGTCAGCCATCAACCCAAGTTACACGCACACCACAACACGTTTGTGAAATGTAGCGCGAATTCTGGTAATGTGGAAAAACCCCTACAGTAACAGAGATTCTACACATCGGTTTCACCTGCACGTCAGAACAAAAATAAATAAAGTCGCTTTTGGTCCACTTGCTAACCGCACGTGCCAAATCGCCTCGCGGATTACCTGTTGTGCGCGTCACGTTGATAGAAATCTGCGTCAACTAGATTGACGCAATCCAGCGAACCCTGTCTTATGCATGATTCTAAACCCTTAGTTAAGAAAGCTCCCATCTAGACTATACATTTCATGAAATATGAAGTAGTCGACCTTATTTCGGAACTGCTTCTAAAACCCATACTGCAAACTTTACACAGAGCCATTTTTTTACTTCTTTTACTAAGAAATTACGTAACATTGCGAAAATTTGACCACATATGTGGGTACGAAACCTAACGTTTAACATGAACTTGTAACTTAAAATGCAAAAAATATAACAGTAATAACATTTTATGTCACAAATAACAAACAAAAGCGGGATCACCATGCATTTGCTGGAGCACCAGCTCCCCAATCTCCAGCCGTTTCTCCTGGTTTGCTTCCGGGATTCCACGTTGCCGTCTCGGAAGCCCAATCTTTGATTTCTGGCTGAGCAGTAAAATCAACAGCCTCGCTGGGCAATTCAAAGTCAGGCTTGACCTCCGGCACGATTTCTGTGATGTCTTGTTTTTCTGATTCCTGGGGATCACGGTAAAAGTATAAATCGGGCATAATTTCCTTGTCGTCGAGGACAAATCCGGTTTGGCGCGAAATTTTTCCACGCAGGATTAAGATTTCACGCGCCAACAACCACCACATAAGTCCACTAGATTGCTCGCCCTAAATACAGACGAATTTTAAAAAACGTCAGGAATAAACGGAAAGTCCAAACTGGAACCCGTAACAACCTTATTGTTGCACGGAATCGCAATGTCGATCAATTTCAAAGGTGATTCCGTATTGCAAAAGGAAATGACGGGCACATTGACATACGAAGCCTCAGTCACAACCTGTAAGAGATAGCTCGAAAAAAAAGCAGCGGCCAAAATAGTTGCACATCAGAATATCTGTTTAAAGAAAGAAACCGGTTCCTTTTAGCATAGAGTCATAAATACCTTGAAAAAAATCTATTACCAGCAGATTTTGTACACTTCTTTTATTGCGCGGCATTGAAAGTCCGCCGCTTCTATGTCACCAAACAACTCATTTAATGTAGTTATTTATCGACCTAATCTAGTTGTGATAACATAAAGAAGAACATAAAACGTATGTTCATTACCATGGACAGAGTTCACCAACATGTTTAAATTTATTGGTCAAGCAAAATACTACCATTTCTGATCAAGTGGAATTTCTCCATAGAGGACTTACGTGTACATGTTTTGAAAACAAATTCTAGTCACTGAACGACACACGACAGAAACTAACACACCAGGTCTAATTTGCAGACATAATGCAGTTGAACCGTCAAATCTAGTGTTTGTGACTGCGCGCACTTATAATTTGAAATGCAGAAGTTGGAGGCCGTCGAAGAGACTGGAGCAGAACACTTTCGATTTCCTCAGGTTCTTCTATCATCCTTCTAGATGAAATATTCCATATGTCGAGTAAGAGGTCCCATAATTTCGTAAATGTACACTGTCTCTGTAAACCTATCATACTTCTCTGCGCAGCTTTGTAAACTCTGACGCAAGCGGACGATGGTCCGTGGTCCTTGCGATTCCACGCCGTGTGTTTGATCTCGATTATTTCTCGACATAGACACCTTTTGATAATCTTCAAACATACGGATTTTCCCGCATTACCGTACAGATTGATAAGAAAACTAGTTACCGTCAAGAAAGGAAGGTGACTGAAACCTCTTGTGGTCCGGCTTTTGCACGAAACCGTCCGGTTTCTCTCTGCAAAGCTAACCTGCGGGAAACTGGTGAAATTGAGCATGACTACCGTACCCAACACGATTCTGCGCTTTTAGATCTTTGCAAAAACTTAGAAAAACCATTTTAGGAATAGGAGAAAAAATACAAAAGTATTTGTGCAGAAATACCTGGTGATCGACACGTGGATCGGAGATGACAAGAAGACGAGGCTCCTTAAAAGACTTCTGGATCTGATTAGTGAGACATCCAGGACTGAACCGACCAAAGATGGCAGTAGCTCCAGTATGAGCGGCAAACTTAAGAAGTGCTCTCTGAGCATGTGGTAGAGCAGAAACTACTACCACATCGGCAGGATTCTCAACGGCCGCGATGGCACGTGCAGCAAGCAGCAGTTTTTCCCATGTCTTCTTCAGATTGATTATATACGTTCCTGAAACATGCGCTTAACTTCAGAAGTGATTTTCATGTGCTAAGAACTACCAACAACAAATATTCACATCGAAGAACAAATGCATGCTCAATTACGAGGTGATGGAGAACACAATTCACCCCGATATGTACAATTTAGACTCAATTCGACCATTCTATTAACGAAAACGGGACGATAGTTAGGTTTCGATAGCTGGAATACATGAGTGGGTTAGCACTTGATAGCTGCCGCTCTGAAGGCTGAAGGCTATTATTTTTGTCTAAACGTCGTTTTCATGAGAAACCTATAAATATTATGTATAAACATTTAAAATTCACTCCCACAATAAGTTATCGAATATTTGAAATCTTCAACGCAAGCGTGGTTGCAGCGCTCACCAAAAGTCGGTTACAAGACATCACCAGCTGGGATGCACAAAATCGAGTGTCAATGCTCTTAAAATGTAAGATACAAATAAAAAATATGTAAAGTATGCAAAATGTTCGATATACCAGCAATGAGAAAAACTGACAAATGAAAAAACACCAATCGTCAGCCTCAGAAATGGGGAACACCGTCGTAATGGTAAGCGGACCTGCATGCTGTTGCTAAAGAATTCTAGATTCTACCGATTTTAAGTCCAACGAAATAACTGCACTATGAACAAAGACGTCTTTTTAACGTTGAAAGGTTACTTAACTTCTAGCCATGTACCAACCACACATAACTCGTACCACTCGTGTGTTAAAATGACCACCTATGTTCTTCACAACTGCTTTCATACCAAGGCGACTACTTTGGAACTCTTTGTACCACAGAACAGTTACCACGATACGATACAAAAAGTGGTTCCACGTGAGTGAAAAGTGGTAGTGGTATAATACCAACCATCGAAACGCCGTTGATAGACATACTGCTCCATTTGGAAGTCAACATTAGCAGAACCAATGTGCGCCTTGGTTGCAATCAGCTTAAGGACATCGACGTCCGAAAGGATGAACGGCTCGAACCCGCCCGACATAGTACCTAAGAATCACACTATTATCAACGAACGTACAAATGAGAGAGTGATGAACGATGTACGAAAGGAAGAATGAGGGAAAATCAGAGCGGACAAAGCACAGATCGTTCTCGAAAGCCTAAAAAACTCTACCACACGATCTAAGCTCTCTATTTGCCGTTAACTTGAGGGAGTAAAGCCAGCTTCGACTGACTTAACTGTACGCCATGGAATGGAATCAAGCGCGGACCACGGACGGTTTCCAGTAGGCATGAAAGAGAGTGCAGATCATGGAAGCATTCCAGAATCCAATAACTAAAGCAAATTAAACATGGACAAACCTGCAGAATCTGGCTGCTGCTACACGACCACGTGAATCTGATACTCAGTCAAGACAGCGTCTTGTAGGTCGCATGTGGAAATTCCACCATCGGTACGTAATTCGGCCCTGTTGCCTCTGATGGGCACGGCTCTCCGTCCAGCATATCTTATTCAGCAGTTTACTCTGGTGTTTGTGAAAACGTGAAGTCTAGGCGTTGAGTTGGCCAGAAATGGTTCATCTGAAGACGGAACTGGTGATTTGTAGAAAGTAAACCGACAAAGATGGGGAGAAATTGTTTCTAAAGTTCTTATCAGACTGTTTTTATGTGGTATTGATTGCCAATTACGTAGTTTTGTCTTAAATCTTATGAAAAGGTGTGGATAAACTCGTGCTAAGTCATCGACATGATTGTGTGAGCGCGAGGTACGAAGTCGACAAGGTGTAGCTTTGTCCATTGCCATTGATTTTGTCATTGAAGTAGCCAACTCTATCTTGAAAGCAACCGAGTCGTCAATGTTTTTCCGTCGTTTTCTAGTTTTTAAGAGGTTCATTCATCACTACGACAGTATTTGATCCGGTTCGTACTATTCGACCATAATTTGAAGAGAGTCAGAGATTCTAACTGGAAAAAATTTGGTCATGGCAAAGAAGTAATGACCTTCAGGAGGGTTGATTTGCAACGTTATCTATTCAGAAAAGAGGCTGTTAACCATGCTTGCAGCACTGGCTCATTTGGTTTGATTTGACGGCTACTCTTCCGGATCCATTCCCCTACAAGTGGGCATTTCATGTGGGAAATGACGCTCCAAAAGACGTTCGGGATTCCATCGTGAATAAATCAGACAACTGAATCTGAAGATTCTGTGTGAATATTCTACTTTTCTCTTTATTACTGCAAGCCTCATATGCTTTGCAAACACAAACTCATTCCCAAATTCACTCTCCAACACTTTTCAGCGAAAGAGCCTTTGATGCCGTCGTATGGCTAGTGTGCTTCTAGGGGAATCTATCTCGCATCCTTGACGACTACTAACCAACTTTCATTCAGTATGGATACTAATTCGTGTGAACGAAGGGAAATGCTTGGGTTCAGTTTAGCTTTGCACTTTGCACCTGCTTTGACGTCACAGAAAGTTGCTACTTTAGAAACAACTACATTTCTGTCCTCAGCAATCAAGTGACAGTCGATGCTCTGAGGGCGTTCTGCCTCCAAGGAGGCTTGCGCACGTCCAATCTCCGTTCTATTGTCTGGAGGGTGAGTGGGAGTTTGTTTTATGATCTTTCTGCTCACTGTATGGGGTGTTTCATTGTTGACCCATCACTGTTTATCTGGTTGTTCGCACTTGTCTACTGTTCTTCATACGGCCTTTCTATTTCAGATTCATTTAAAATGCTTGCCGATCTCAAAAATCGAATGGGTACATGTTGCTAGTCGCACGAGGAGCTTGTATGCAGAACTCAAGCAGAAGAACCTCCCCAATCCCCACGATGAATGCTTCTGCCAGGATCCACAAATCAATAACCCTCTTGACCAGACAGAACACGTAGGCTTTCAAGGTTTTTCTTTCTGATTTTGCATATGCTTTTGAACGCTGGTTCGAAACTACTGGCCTGTTTGAACGACATTTTTTAGGTAGAGCTATAACCCATCTCTAATACAGTAACCTCCCAACGGTTTACCACCTCATCTTGCCTGGGAGGTGTTCTTCGTTGTCGGACTGTGGTGTACAGAGGGATCCATGCCCTGGCAGGGTCTCCCAAGCTGAGAAGGAGTCCGGTGTTTCCATCAGGAGGCCAGCTAAGAGTAGACCATTACCAAAATCCACCACCGTCCTGGTATCAAATTAGTCGCATGGAGGCAAATCCGCATCCTCTGATCCGCAAGGGCGGCGACTACCTGTCGTGGTGACGACCCAGGTCAAACTTTGGCCAGGCTAACCTCGAGACTTCAAGGAAACACAGTGGTTAAACCGGCAAAACTCCGAAAAATGGAGAGTGTGCTGACGATCTTAACTTATTATTTACTGCCTACTATTTCTAATGGCAGGGTATATTGCCAATTATAATTTCAGTGATGCTGAGATATTTGCAAAACTCCGGACCCGCAGGTGTCTGCGGTGGTGTGCGAACGTGCTATTGTCCTTACCGGGAAGTAACGCAAAATCCCGCCGACGGGTGATTGCCGATGGCAGAAATAGATAGAACTAACTGAGAGACAGGTGAAACGAGGGACCTGCATGGTGTGGTGGTGAACGCGTTACTCCCCGGAAAGGACAATAGCGCGTTCGTTCCCCACCACAGGCACCTGCGGTTCGGAGTTTTGCAAATGTCTCAGCGTCATTGAAATGTGCTGATGCCCACACAACCAGTGATGACGGGCCTTCCGGGTATCCAAGTGAGTCAGACAGTAAACACTGAAACATCATGTTCTGACTTTCGAACTCACGTGCTGTACATTTTTGCCGAGGACCGTTTTGCATAGAATTGATCCTTTGCAGAAATGCAGCATTTCTACCTGTGTAGATCCTTTACTTCTTAAAACGTGCTTGCAAATTATACTTTATGGGTTATTGAAGGATACAGTTTAAGGTTCATTGTGCATTGCAAGCTATCTCGCTATTGTTCAGTTGAGATTGATTGAGATTGATTTGCGAAATGGTTTTTAGAACAGAATTAACGCACGAAGACCAAAGCGAAGGCTAATGAATATCACACCACCGTTGTTTTCAAACTGTAGCCAGTCAGATATCATAGTTGTAAATCTTGCGTGCTATTGTATTAGCAGAACCTCTACTGACAATTTTAAGATCCTCTGATTTTCAGAACCAAATACTGTGCTAGAAATAACTTCTGTGTATTTCACAGAACTGCCGTTAGTACTCTGCAGCTTCAGTAAAATTTTGATGTAAGTTTGCTAAATGAACTTTAACCGTTTACTTCTTCCAGAACCCGTGGCAGCAGTACTTCGCGGATCATGACTTGCGTGATCTCATATCAAAAGATGTTGGAAGGACGTAAATTTACGCTTCATGTTGCCTTTTTGCCATTCACTTTCTGCTCGTGAATATTTCTTTTTTTTCAATGTTTCAGTTTCCCTGAACTTGAATTTTTTCAACAAGATCACGTCCGCCGAATGATGTGCGATATTCTTTTGATTTATGCTAAAGAAAATCCTTTCGTATCGTATAAACAGGTAGGTTTGTTTCTTTACGGTTTGTTGAAGTGTTCACTATCTTTTAGGGAATGCACGAGATTCTTGCTCCACTCATTTTTGTGCTCTTTTCCGATCAGCAGTCTTTTTCACACTGTGAAGAAAGTGGAGGTTTAAAGTGAGTTCCCTAGTCTATATTTTGTCAGAAGCACCAGAAGTGTGTCTGCCTTGAATGTGAAGTGTTTTAGGATGCTTTCGGCAGATGATTGTTCAATTTTATCACATGTTTATGATCCAAATTACTTGGAGAACGATAGCTAGTATGTTAGACAGTTGCTAAACTTTGACCGCTTCATCTATGCTTTGGGAATAGCTTTGACATTTTTAGTGCCATGTTTTGTGAGATCATGCTCGAATTGGCGAAGTGGTATGAAGATGGGTCACCAGCAGGCTCTACGTCAAAACCTTTTGATGAGACAGGACCGTATATGCGGTAGGTGGAGATAAGTACGTTTGTTAGGGTTCTAATCTTCTCTTCTTGCATAATAGTTCAACTGCAGGATTCAAGATGCAGTTCCAACAAGCGAGATAATGCGTGAGTTGTCCTCGATCGGTCAGCGTCTACACGCCGTCGACCCAGTTTTGTCGGATCATCTACGTAATTTTGATATTCCACCGCAGTTGTATGGAATGTTCGTTTATCTGGTTTACTATCGTTATCATTAATTTCCTCGGTATCGTGAGGAGCGTCAATGTGCAGAGCTATGTAGTAGGATTTATACTACTTGAATACTTGGATGGCCCATACTTACTGGTTTTGCGGGCACCTACACAATCTCCATTTTTTCGGAGTTTTGCTGTTTAGTCATTGTGGCTCTCAGGAGTCCCGAGGTTAACCAGGCCAAAGTCTGCCCCATAAGATTAGTAACTAATAACTGACTATTATAAAAGATTTGGTATCAAGTGAATATGATTTCTTTTATGTCCTGTTTATGTATGACGCATGAAACATGGTCCATATTCAGCCGATGGCTACGACTGCTATTTGGAAGAGAGTTCGCAATACACGATCTGCTCCATGTATGGGATGTCATCTTGTGTGATCGACCAATCTCAAGAATGGTGGAATGCGTATACGTGGCTATGCTCGTACAAATTCGACATCTTTGTAGGCTTTTATGTTTTTTGAGAGTGTTTGCACTACTTTTTTGAAGGAAATGCAGTGCAGCTTCATGTATATCTCGCGAATACTATTTCACAGGGAAATCGTGCAAAAATGGTAAGCTCGTAGCAAAAGCATGAATGTGGACACCACGGTTTTTTGTGCTGGGTTCATATAATCAATGTACTAACATACCTGTACATCCTTAGCTTGTAGTTGTACAAGTTTGATGTATGCGTTGTTTAGCAACGTCTGCTGCGGTCTACAGTTTTGAATCCCTTCTGCCCACATCTAGACAAATAGCGGGCTTTCTAAAGAAGGTTTAAGAATGTTCATTTTCTTCCAAAATGCTGTGAAGATTAACTGTTTAGTATAGATCCATATATCTTTTTGAACAGCCCTCTTTTATACAAACTGTTGGAACTGCTGTCTTTTGTTTGTACATTACTCTTGTTAATATCGCAGGTTTGACTTGCGGAAATCACGCGAGTAAAATATGATTTGAAACTTCAGTAGAGTTGATTACATGTGTAGGGCTACCTAGGCTTAAGTGAAAAATCGGACTTTAAATCTAAGCAGCCACGCCATGCCATCAAAAATCCATGCCTATCATTTTCCCTGAGTCGTGAAGTGAAATCGGTACCCGATTTTATCAGATCTTACGTGAGTGTATTACCATCTGATTTAAGAGAACTGTTTGATTAGGCAGCGTCTTGCCGACATCCTAAATAGACTAATATCATGCAGCTGTAGAAATAAGGGAAAAGGGGTGAGAATAGTCAATTATCAAACGTGTTTTCTTTGACCATGTCATACTGCTAATTCCATTGTCCATCAAGAGCGAAAAAGTGTCGCCTGATTTCTGCTGTATTTATGGAAAATGTTCAGCTAAATGATGGTGTTTAAAAAATAGTTCTCCATGGCGTGACATTCACCCCGTATTCGATTCGAGTTTGCATGTAGGTTCAGCTAATACTTGAGCACTTTTTTTTCTTCATGGAATGCGTTTAATACTTGTCAAGTGGTTCTGTATGGGATTCGGGGATAGCTGTTCTAGAGCTTTGCTGGGCCTCCACTACAATTAGTTGCTTAGCACTGTAGATCTGGGAGATTTTCTCAAATAATAGCAATTTATCGACATGGAAGGATGACTGGCCTGGTTAGTTCGGAGCTCAGTCGAACCAGTGTGTAAAAAGCATGTGCTGCATGACGTTTTTAACTGCTGCACTTCCCGTTCCTCATACTGAATAAACACATACTTTTACGGTTTCCTAAATCTTCTCCACTGATATATGCTTCGTATACGTGAATGTCATACGAGCAGAATGAAAACAGGAAATGTCACGTATGCGCAGGAGGGAAGTATATTTTAAAAGAAGACACCTATTTTTCGGCCGCTAGTTACATGTGATTCGTGGCAACTCCTCAGGCTCTCTGAAATATCCTGCCTCTTTTTTGTTTTAATTTCCGTCCTATGGTATGTTTGTTCTACGTATTTTGGTGATAAGTTCACCCTTTCTTCTTTTCTGCAAATATATGTTTTATTCATCTTCCTATGTTTTTTTTTGACATTTCAAACTATTGTATGCGATTAAAAAAGACCTCATCCACCATTCGACAAGTTTTACACGCCTATACAATGCCAAATCAAGATGAATTCAGACTCATCATCAGTATAGTTCCCATCAAGAGCGGACAGCAGTACTCTAAAACTAAGACAAAAATACTAAGAATTACAAGAAAGAAAGAAGCAAGAATACTAATAATTACAAGAAGGAAAGAAGTTCCTGCGAAAAATGAGGTCAACACTTGTGGTTCCTATCAAGGAGTCTGAAATGATTTTAAAGATGAATACGAATGTGAACATGACACATGGTCTCGAATGAATGGTCAAACAGTGTTGTTCCTCACAACCTTTGTGGCTTCGATAACAGTACGTCTGTAGAAGATCAAAAGCACCTGCTCTAAACCATAGAATTATTAGTAAAGTAATTAAAATTTGTAGATGTCCATGATGCATGGTGCAATTGATCAAGTTTGTTATGATCGCAATATGTGGAGTGCTCAAGACGAGTGAAATTGTGTGCACAAGAGATTTTCAGATAGCGTTTTATTTTACATATGTTAGAAGAACGCGGGTCCCAGCATAATTTCTATTGTCCGGAGATTTGCTGGTTTAGTCACTGTGGTTCGCTGTAGTCCCGAGGATAACCTGGGCAAGTTTGGCCCATCACCACCACAAGCATTCGCCACCCTTGTGGATCAAAGCGAAATTTGCTACCATGCGATAAGTTTGATACCAGGACGGTGGTAGACCCTTGGTATTGGTTTACTCTTAGCTGGACTTCCTGATGGAAACACTGGACTCCGCAGCTTGGGAGACCTTGCAGGAAGGATGGATCTGCCGGCTGTACATCAAAGCCCAGACACCCAGGATCACCTCCTAGCTACGATGAGGCGGTAAACCGTTGGGAGGATAGATTAGATATACACAGCTTTTTTCGCATGCCCATTTAGACGTTTTGACGAATATTTGATACATAGTGAGATTGCCCAAGAAACCGGGGCGTCCATCCGTGTTTAAGTGGTGTCCTCTGCGATGATGACAATTCTTCCAAAGAATTGCATTTGAAATACTACGTGATATTCTATACGGGTGTTGAGCTGGGCTACTTGCTTGGAGACTATAGTGCAAGAGCAAATAAAGGTGTCACCTAATTTTAGCTTAATGTTCATGATTAGAAATGTGTATACTTTTGAGTGATCCATTTGAAGTTTTCTCCGTTAGAGAGGTTAGATGTAACTTATCTAATCTAGCGCTGCGGCAATTTAATTAGCTAAGTGGCTCATTTTGGAATTAACAGCAAATATCCTTGTGACTGAAGTCTGACATGCAAGGTTAGTCAAAGATTGCGACTATGTATACATATATACATATATGCATATATGTATTACATATATATGTACGATTATTCATATGTATATACATACATATATGCGTATATTCGGACTTAGACAATGATCCAGCCTAACTTCTCAGTATTCCACCTTTTAACGTTCAGATAGTATCTGAAATTGTAGTACATAACTGAAATATTATCTTCATTATGTACTCTTTAGTGCTACAGTCCGACTATGGCGGTTGCTTGCAATATTTGATGAGGTATCCTCCAGTCATGGATGTCTCTGCTTTTATTCAACAAGCTCTCCGTTTTAGAAATCCCAAAGTATGTGTCTTTGTTGTTATCTTTCATGTTTTTTCTATTCATTTTAATGTTTTTTTATCGTTCCTTATTACCCAGTTCATCTTTCAGAGATATTCAAGTCAATCGGGAACCAATCCTTTGGGGAATTTTTCCCACCTTACTATCACAGGTGGACACCATCCAAATCGTTCTCGTCAAGAATTCTTATCATCGGGTAAAATAGTCCAGGATGAAGCTGTCAGTGGTCTTCGTAATATAACGTCTTCAATGTTGTCGAAAGTGAAGAATTCAGTGCTTGAAAAACCTTGTAGGATAATTTTTCACATTTGCTGACTCACTTTCGGCGCAGTTCAGTGTTATCTATCTAGTTGTTGTAGCATCAACGACGACTGCAACACTGGCATCGCCTAAGAGTGTTCCGGAGAGTGCATCCGGGCCTCCTAAATGGGAAAGAGTCAGAGTTCTTACTTGCAGAGTAATGTTGTTGTTTTTTTTACATGTAACGTTTAGGAAATGCTTCTGATGGAGGAACAAGTTGCGTGTCTTCAAATTAAACTAAACCAGAAGGATATCATTTGTTCCGAGGCTGCACAAGGAATTGGTGATTTTAATAGTAATTTTTTTTTGCAGACACACTGTCTTTGCTGTGAATCTCACCTCCTGCTGTCCGTATCCTAGTAGTCGGTTAATTAACATATAACACGTTCGTTATGAGCAATTTTAACTCATATGTAGAGGAATGCGGATTGTTGGTATTAATGGGTTCTCAATCATGCGTTTTGGAAAATGTTTGCGCGCTTTGATACCAAACGTATCTCAGTTAATAGTGGAGTTTGCTAAGTCAAGTAAAAATTGCTGTAGTTTACAGATTTTCGCGTTAGATTTTCCTTTGTTATTTTTTAGCAATAGACCTCTGGTTTCTTAAATACCATCAAAGTTTTTGTTTCGCGAGTGCTCACATTTCTGATAGCGAACCGAATGGACAGGCGGGATTTTGATCGGCAGGACAAGACAATATATCGTTGATGTTTGCGATCCTGTATGTGTGTTAAGAGTTTTAAAAATTTAGACTTTGTTCCCAAGTTTCTTTTATTTTTGGTTGTAAACAATTTTAAAATTGAGATAACGTTTCGAAAATTATATAAAGCTCTAAAGCTACAAAGCAAACTGTCTTCTACAATTATGTCAAATTTGCAACTACTCGAGTATGTTAGTTTGCGAAAAGTACGAGTAGCACCGAATATTGGCGCTTCCTGACACGCGGTAGCCAACGAACATTATTAATTGGGTGGAATGTGTTAATATTACCATGTTTATTCTATAGGCTACCCTCACGTCACCAACTATGTCGTTTTAAATATAAGCGAAGCTGGAGTTCGTCACCATAATGAATCTATATGTGGTCTTACATCGCATTGATGATTGCTAGAACTTTTAATACCATCCTTCATACTGTAGACAGGCAGTGGTATTATGATAGATTTTCTTCCCATCTTATTTGCTTTTCTGTTACTGATATATTGAATTGTCTGCAGAATGGTGTGTTGGGCAGTTGCGCAAAGGTACTGAGCACACAGTGTCTGAACTTTGCGAGAAGCTCATGGAAATCAGAAGAAATATCACTACAGATTACCCCAATGGTAGGTTTATTCCTTAATGCGACTGCGTCCTCTCTCATGGCATAGGTTCGTCATGTGTGTACTTTTAATATTATTTTTTTCTGTTAACGGTAAATAACATTTACGGCTTTTTTAAAAGATAATGTGATTGTGGAATATGTGGTTAATAACACCTTTTTAGGACAATACATGGCGAATATACCTCAACCACGTCATATACAACGAGAAAATGAAATGGTCGATCTCAGATTGCCACCAACGAGATGAGAAACGTGTATCTAGAAAAGCCGGTGATTTAGAACTAAAGTATCTCTGAAATTGTTTCGAATATTCTACAGAAGCTGCTTTCGGGTTTGGCAGTCGAGTGATTTCGTCTGACATATTTCCTACTAGCGCTATTATTATAAGTATGTAGTGTTTCATCTGTTTTGGAGGTCACTTCTTTCATTATGACCTCTAATTTTTTCGAATATTTTATGATATTAAGCGGTTTATATCTTGTAATGTCGCTCACTATATTGTTCCGAATATTTTTATCTTATTTTTCCTTTCTGCCCCACACTTTTTTAGTCGCTCTGTCACTTTAATTGTGAAGGTTTTACCGTGAGATTATATTGGAAAGGTTTTTGATGTTTTCAGTGAAAAGATTAAAGCTGGTGCTAGGTTTGTTTGTACCCCATATTCATCCTGCACCTAACCGTGTAAAAGTTAGTTTCTAATATGGTATCCATGGTGTTCTGCCAATAGAGTGACCATAATAGGTTAACGGGTGTGAGTACCGATTTGTTCCAGAACTTTCCGCCATGCAGCTATGTGCCGTCGACTAGAGAAGAATATCTGTCTTCGAACCAGTGCAAAGTTCAATTTTCTTTGCTTGATGTGATCGGTGTCGTCGCAAAATGGTTTTGTGGTGACAACGTGAAGAACTAAACAACTGACAACTTGAGGAAAGGTTATGCATTTGTTTTCCACATAGAATAAGAGCTGTGTACTCGAAATACTTCGTACAGTCAGAATAGCAAAAGTTTTGGGAGATAAGATGAAGGTCTGTGTTTTTGGTGAACTTTACGGGATGCTTGGAAATTATATTTTCAAAAGCAGATGATTAAGGGAGGAACCCCTTCACATGGGAGAGCCAGATTACTACTGTGGTGCTATATGGGCTAAATAGCTGTCACTGAAGTAATAAATGACATAATACCTACTGCTTTTGTTACAACTTTACGCCACTTGTACGCCAGTAAAGGGACATATCTAATAGATGGAACCGATTACTATCACAACCTCATTGCGATCATTCGGCATAGTTCCGACCTTTAGAATTATCGCTGAAAAGTGGTGAAGATCTGGGAACGCTCCAGTGCGTCTATTTTTGAAATCCTGGGGACAACCACGCTCCACCGACATTTAAAATGAAAAGAAATAGAACACGTATCTAGGACACTAGGGTTAATATGGAGACTACTTCTGAGCGTGTTCGTAGTGGTGGACCAGTCTCTTCAAACCGTATACGAGCTTTATAAAAAACATAGTGGGTATTGTGAGAATCTAGGAATGCGGAGGCCCTCGTATGCAAATGAAAGATGGAGCTTTGTTTCCATCTGTGAGAAGACGCCATGCCTTGATATTAGTGGCATGGGATTTTTATGCGCTCATCCGCTGCCCACTTTGTCAACTTCCATGAGATCTTTGACGAAATCGTCCTTCTATCCTATGCCTCGCCTTACACTTGTCAGAATGGAATTAGTGTGGCCAACCGCTATTCACCAACATTACAGGTGTTGATAGGGTACGTTTTATGGAGATCTAAAGAAGGTCGTCCATAGTCACGAGTACAAACAAATTTGTTGAGGGCAACTTTAATTCAAAGACAGGATCTGAAGAATTGGAGTGTAGAAAATTAGTACAAGGATAGTGTAATGAAAGCCCAATTCGTTTCAGGGACTGTTCTCCTCAGGTCGTCTCTTCCATGGAAATTTTTTTTTCAAGGAGAAGAACCATCACCGCTGGAGAGTCTATTCTTACTTGGATACTTGGATACCTAGATGGCCCACCTTCACCGCTTGTGCGAGTCCCAGCATAATTTCTACTTTTTCGGAGTTCTGCTGGTTCAACCATTGCGCTACACTCGAGACCCGGGGTCAGCCTGGCCAAAGTCTGCCTCAGGTCGTCACCACCACAGGCAGTCGCCGCCCTCGTAGGTCAAAGGGAGTTTTGCCACCATGGGACTAATTTGATACCAGGGCTGGTGGTAGTTCCTGGTATTGGTTTACTCTTAGCTGGGCTTCCTGATGGGAACGCAGGACTCCTTCTCAGCTTACGAGACCCTGCTGGAGGGATGGAACCTCCAGCTGTACATGTCACCACGACACCCAGAAACCTCCCAGGCAGGATGAAGCGATAAACCGTTGAGAGAGGCGAGTCTATTCACCGTTAGTATGTATTGGTCATCAATGTCATTTGATCTTTATTAAGAATAGTACACGAAACTCTGGGAGCAGTAAAAAGAAAGGAAAATAAAGAAATTTCTTCAGGATCGTCGCAAATACGACGTTACCACCCATCTATACTCCTTTTCTTCGTTAGTTTCGGGAAAACACGACATTGTGGAAAGCAATGCCATTGTATTCTTGGTTAACCACTGTATTGAAATGTCTTCCCTAACAGAGGGATCTCACGCTGGTTAGTCGCCAGGTAACGTGATACGTCACTATATGGCGGATATGGGATTAATCGCGGACCAAATGCTACCTTCGCTACCCTGATACGCAGGTGGATCCAGTGGATAGACTCCCTGTTTCTGCTGCGTCGATTTGGCACATACCTTCTGTATTCGCGAGGACGTACTCATTCATACGTGAATGAGACGCATATGGGAAACGGTTAGGAGTCGGCTGGAACAAATAAGCTCACCGTCTAGTGTGGGAGAGATTGGCAAGCTAACCTTGAGCATACCCAGCCCTACATTCAGAGCTCACCCAGCTATACGGCAGCATTGGGTAACATGACTACCAAAAGGCTGCTAAAACCTGAAGGCCATTGCATGCTGCCTAAATCGCAAGGAACTAGGGTGATGACCTGTGCCTACAATGCACGTACACTTGTATCCACTTGATTAAGAAGGATGAGGTCCGACGTCACTGGAATGGCTGAGACGAGAAGACGTCATCCATTCAACGCCGTTTGTGACAATGAAGAAGAGCGTCACCACGAGTCCGGCCATGAACATCGATCCATTCCAACGATAAACAACCCAAATCAGACGCTTACGATTGAAGGGATGTGGATCAATGGCGACTTTGACAATCTTGGTCGTTTACCCACCGACATCAAGCTGTGACCAAGTAGAAGTCGAAGCGTTCTATATGGATTTGGAGACGTTTTACAGAGAACACCATAAATTCTTTAAGGTCATCATTGGAAGTTTTATCGCTAAAAGTGGACTCAAAACAATGTCCGAAGAGCGTCATATTGCTGACCACGGATCAGAATGGAACGAGCACGGTGAACGAGTGTCTGAGTTTATCACGACCACCAAAAGCACTTATGGTAACTTGCAATTTCAGATGTTCCACTTTCAACGTTGGACGTAGGAGTCTCTCAATGGAGAGTACCATAACGAAATATACCACATCATAGTAAATGGAAGGTTTTGCCTAACCGATGTCGCTGTTGTCCCAAAATTCTACATAGGATCAGATCATCGTCCCTGTCTTGCAAGACTTCATTTCTCGCGGAAACGAGAAAAAGCCGCTAGATTCGGAAAAAACGAGGTGCCAAAACGACCATAAACTGGGACTTATTCAATTCATTAGTCGGCTGTTGGGAAGATGCCGTTGTCGATAACAACGACGAATAATACGATCGGCTGATTCAACATCTTCACGCTAGTGCTATGAAAGCTGAGAGATCAAAAGTCACCAAGAGACGTCTGTTTCCAGACACCCTCGAGATGATACGCCAGCGTGGAATCGGACGAGCTACGGGCAACGGCCACCTCACGTTTGACCTTACAAAACAATGCAGATAGGCGATAAAAGAAGACCTTAAAGAGGGAAGAGTAGCAGCTATGGTCGAAGATCCAAAGAATGGGCGAAGCAATTGCAAAGCCCACCGAAGCTTCGCCAGTTACAAGACCGAAATGATTGCACTCCGGCTCCCAGACGGAACAGTTACAGCGTCCAGAAAGACAATGGAGAAAATCATTCACGAATGCTTTCCGGATCTCTTCATTAGCCACCTCCTATTAAATAAAGGAGGATGGATATGTCGTCTCACCGGGTCTCCCTTCCGAAATTCGGCATGCTATTTCGTCGGTGAAAAATCGGGCAGCACGAGGTCCGGACAGGATAAGATCTAAACACCTGAAGAGCCTTGTGTCACTCTTCATAAATACACTGGCTTGCCTCTTCATACGTTACCTGTCCGCGCGCAAGGTCCCTACTCAGTGGAAGCCCAGCAGGATCTCACTATTGTTCAAGAAGGGTGACCTCCACGATATCGGCAACTATCGCCCAATCTGCCTACTGCCTGTCGTGTACAAATTTCACTTGAGTCATCCTAAACAGGATTGACAGAACACCGGACGAAGGGTAGCCATGTGAGCAAACAGGGTTTCGAAAAGGATTTAGTGCAATGAAGCACATCCACATGATAACAAGATTCATTGAAGTATCGCGAGAATAGAAAAGGCCACTTTCATCGATTTAAAGAAGGCTTTTGGCTCAGTTGAGTTAGAAGCAATCAGGGGAGCGCTGGACAGCCAGGAAGTTCCTACTAAGTATATACAAACTCTTCGTGAGCTGTATAAAAATTTAACAACCGAGATATTACTATTCTACAACGATATTGAGATCGAAGTCAAAAGAGGGGTTGGCAAGGCAATACCATCTCGTCAAAATTATTTGCCGCCACCCTCCAGAACGTCATGCGAACATTGAAATGGGACAATTTGGGAATAAAAATCGATGGTCGGAAACTACACCATCTTCTTCGTAATTTTGTTGAGCAAACGCGAGGTGTTATTATTCTTTGTTCACGATTAAGCTGACGTTTCGGCGGATTTCGCCTTCCTCAGAGCCTGGAAAGGAAAATCAACTGATAGCAATCTACTCGGCCGGACGTCTCCATAACCAAACAAAGAAACTCCAAACCAAGATTTCAATCACTTTGAACACAGCTTTGCACACTCACCGCTTCCTATGAGGTTATCCAGATGTTACCCAGATGAATACCCAGATGTTTCTGGATCGTCTACGTACTGCGCAGCCCAACGGCGCGTGCGTGATGGAGTCCTTCGACGTTACCGCCCTTTATACAAACGTGTCAAATGACTCCGCAATGCAAGCCATATTCGAACTCCTTACACAACACGAAGGAGAAATAAACATGTATGGCTTCAGGATAGAGCACCTGATAGCACTCTTAAAAGAATGCTTGAGCTGCTCAATCTTCAGATGGTCTGGAAAGTACTACGCTCAAATAAGAGGGTTGGCAATGGGACAACGACTGGCTCCAAGCCTTGCCATTGCATTTATGTCTAAGGTGGAAGCACCGGTGACTGATCTCGGTCCGCTACTCTACTGTAGGTATGTAGGCGACTGCTTTGTCCTTTGCTCAACACAAGAAGAAATCGACAGATGTTTCGAGTTGTTGAACACACAGTCAGAGTATATTAAATTCACCCGAGAGAAACCAAAAGAAGACTGGCTTCCATTTCTGAACGTGCAAATTAGCCTATCAGAAAACGGCTACATTACGAAGTGGTATCGAAAGCCAAGTAGTAAAAACATCCTAGCTCATTACCTCCCCTCTCATCCCTCTCACACGAAAAGGGCGCTTGTGAGAAACATGTATCGAACAGCTACCAGCGTGTGCACAGGAAGACAACAGAGAGAGGAGTCCCGGAACTTGGAGCGGCAAATAGCCATTTTTAATGGCTACGAATCTGTAGCTCAGGATAGGTGTAGAGGAAATCGTAGGCCTCCAAACGACAACTCTAGCGATAGAAGGGTCCCGTTTATCCTACCCTTCATCTCAAATGATATAAGTACAGCTATAAAACGCTGCTTAAGAAGGGCGGGCTTAGAGAATTCGGTGAGCGTAGTTGAAATACCACCGAGTAATCTTAAGCGCCAGCTAGTTCGTAACCGCCTATATGACCGTCTATGTGCAACTCAAAATTGCATAATTTGCCCCAGTGGTAGAGACGGTGATTGCATGAGCTCGGGTATAGTTTATCTGATCTCCTGTAAGACGTGTGGTGACGAATACATTGGCGAATCGGGTAGACCCCTCTGTGTCCGCATGAAAGAACACCTAGCCGGCAAAAATAGACCAAATAGCCCGCTAGGTACGCACAGGACCCAGAGACATAACGGGGACGACTTTGAAGTATGTGTCACGATCCTCGCACGCGAATCAAGAACACAGGCGCGAAGAACTCTCGAGGCACTCTGGATTAATTCCAGAAATCCGAAAATGAACCGCAGGGAAGAATGCCTCATTATCACGCATGATATAGGGCAGTATATAAAACTGCTTTTCTGATATGAGGGGCACATTATACTTTCATGTGATTTCTGTGCGGTTGGTCTCTACGTGACATACTTAGTGGAAACCTCATAGAAAGCGGTGAGTGTGCAAAGCTGTGTTCAAAGTGATTGAAATCTTGGTTTGGGGTTTCTTTGTTTGGTTATGGAGGCGTCTGGCCGAGTAGATTGCTATCGACTTGACCTTTCCAGGCTCTGAGGAAGGCGAAATCCGCCGAAACGTCAGCTTAATCGTGAACAAAGAATAATAACACCTCGCGTTTGCTCAACAAAAATACGAAGAAAATTACTTGATCAATGCCGTGGTTAATAGAAAGTTGGTCGTGGCAGTTACACCATCTTCGCCCTGCTGATGACATCGTTACAACGGCAAACATTAACTAGGGGGAACGTACGTTTGTCTAGTTTGAAAAAACCTGGTGAAGGATTAGCCTTCGACTAATTCTCACAAAAACGATGTTCATGCGAAACGGATTGGTTGCCTATGCACCATTCATGATCGACAGAATGAATATTTCTGAATGCTCCATTTACGTCTATGTAGGTCAGAAAATGAACACGATGAGCGACTTAGTTCCAAAGTTGAGCAAGAGGCCAGCGGCTTCTGGAGCTTTCATAAGCATCGGGAATGTAGTGAAGAAAGGGGAAATACACACACACACACATTTCTAACTAATCTAGTGTTATAATAGAGACAGCTTGAAACCTCATAAGAAAATAGAAAAATAAGAAGATGAACCAAACGCAACCTACGTTTGCAATTGAAGAGATGTGAATCATTAGCGGCTTTGACAATATTCGTCGTTCACGCACCGACATCAAGGGATGACGAAGACGAAGTCAAAACGTTCTATGTGGACTTGGAGAAGTTCTACAGAGAAAATCATACATTTTTTAAGGTGATCACTGGAAATCTTAACGCTAAGATTGGATCCAGAGGAACGTCACATTAGGTTCCACTGATTAGGAGGAAACCAGTAGGGTGAGCAGCTGTTCGAGTTTATCATGTCGATCAAAACCTTGAATAGTAATTCGAAATTCTACAAGCTCCACTCTCAACGCTGGATGTGAGAGTCTCCCATTGGAGTTACCATAGCAAAATGGACTACGTAGTAAATCGAAGGTTTTATCTAACTGTAGTTGCTGTTGTCCCAAAATTCTAAAAGGATCGGACTATTACTTCCTTCCTACAAGATATAATTTTCCGTGAAAAGGAGAAAAAGCCGTCAAATTCGAAAAGCGAAATCGCAAAACCACAATAAACTGTGGTATTCACTTCATTAGTAAGCTGTTGGGAAGATGCCGTTCTTGATAATATCGACGAGGATCACGATCGGTGCTTTCATCATCCTAGCGTTGGTTCCATAAAAGCTGAGAGTTGGGAAGCCTCCTAAAGAGGTTTTTACAGAAACACTCGAGCAGATATGGCAACGTGGAATCGTACGATCAACAGACAACCGCCAACTCATGTCCAAACTTGCAAAACAGTGCAGATAGGCAATGAAAGAAGAACTTAAGGAGAGAATAGCAGCAGTTGTAGTCGAAGCTGCGTTCGCCAATTACAGAAACAAGGCGGTTGCACCTGGACACCCGAATTCCTTGTGAACTATATAAAACTTCACAGCCACAGTGTCACCGTTGTACCACGATATTAACATTGGCATCAAAAGACCATTCAGACAAGGCAATACGTCTCACCAAAATTATTCACCGCCATTCTCGAGAACGTCATGCGAGCTTTGAAATTGAATATCATGAGAGTGGTCATTGATAGTCGGCAATTACACCATGTTCGCTTTGCTGATGACGTCGTTTTTACAATACTACGCTCAAGTCAGGGGAAAAGAAAATTTGCTGACTTTTATAGCGCTTGTAGAAAGATTAATCTTCAACTGAATCTAAAAGAAAGCGCCGTTAATGAAGAACTGATTGGTTTTCTGTGATCGATTGGTCCTTAGCGCAATAAATATCTCCATATATTCCAAGTACGTTTATTTAGGACGGGAATTCGAAATGACGCTTTGCTCCAGGCTTCAATAGGAAGAAACCAGCATCTTAAGGAGCTTT